AGCTGGGCAGTGCCTGGCTCAGTAAATGTTAAATTGTTGTTCTTCTTCTCCCAGGAGAATCCCAGGGTCATGTGGAGCTGAGCTGTTAAAAATCAACCCCTTCGGGGCGCCTGGGTGGCTCAGTGGGTTAAGCCGCTGCCTTCGGCTCAGGTCGTGATCTCAGGGTCCTGGGATCGAGTCCCACATCGGGCTCTCTGCTCGGCAGGGAGCCTGCTTCCCTCTCTCTCTCTCTCTCTCTCTGCCTGCCTCTCCATCTACTTGTGATCTCTCTCTGTCATATAAATAAATAAAATCTTTAAAAAAAAAATCAACCCCTTCTACCCTTCCATACACTTTATAGATAAGCAAACTGATATGATACTATAGGACTGGACTCCAGAACAGTCAGACTCCGGTGGGAGGCTGTAATTCCTGGACGGCTTCCTGTCCAGGCTCTGGAGGTGGCAGTGTGCTCTCCATCTCTAAATCAGGAAGTAGGAAACCTCTGGGCCAGGCTCAGTTCTCAGCTCAAAAGGAAACAGCCAGGGGCTGTGGCCTCCCAGATCTACCTCTCCCTCTCCTCCCTCTCTAGCTGCACGATCTGGAGCAATCTCCTGAGCTTCAGAATCCCAGACATCTCTTGTCTTCCCTCTGGAGCAGTGTGCACATATGTGCACGTGTATGGGCACACACACACGCTCACCAGCAAGGAGACAGGCGCCCAGTACAGCACAGACAGCAGACACTCACAGCCCAGGTGAGACCAGGCAGAAGTGAAGATGAAAATGTCTCTGCTTTGAACTCTGGTCTCTTACTTCAGGGAACAGGGAGAGGCAGCCATAACCAACAGGCCAAAATTCAGGCCAGGCTAAGAGCAGAGGAGCCTGGGCCTGGGGGACCTGCTACCCCTTCCTTCTGGCCAGCACTCGTGCTGGATCCCCAGGATCAGCTTGGCGGATTCTCATGTGGCTTTAGCCGGTTGTGGGGCGTGATGTGCTCTCGAACATGACCTACTCGAGCACTGTGACCCTTGGCTGGACTGTGAAGAGGGACTGGAGCCCAGAACTTGGTTGATTTATTGAGGTGGAGGGACATGTGAGCATATGTGTGTCTGTCTGTCTGCCAGTGTCACGGTGGGCTTTGATGCTCAGCCTTTAAACCCAGAAGGAACCCCCAAGCCTGGAAAGGCTTAAAACCAATTTTAGATAATTTGGCTCAGAAGAAATCTATGCACTTAATTTTTTTTTTCTGCTTTAGAAGAAGTACATGCTCAATGTAAAAATAAATATGGAAATGGGGGTGGGGGACACGGTATAAAAAGGAAAATGAAAAGCACCTGTGCAGCCACCACTGGCGATAATCACTGCGGACGTTTTGGCGGAGTTAGATTATGTGCGCGAACCGCTTTCTTTTCTTCCCTCTCACTCAAGCTGCAAGGAGCATTTTTCTCATGTCATTCCCTTTTGTAAACTCGTTCGAAGGCATTGTACCACCGGATTGCTGTACCATAATTTATTTTACTTGCCCCTCATTGTTGGGCATTCGGGTGGCTTTCAGTCTGTCCCTATTGTGGAAACCTAGGATCGTATGTCTTTGTGCAGGAAGCTGGGAAGCCCTGCCGAAGGCACAATCGGAGTGCAGTGGAGGGGAGTGTAATCCGGGAAAGGCTGGGAGGCCGGATTTCAGTAGCACGGCTGAGTCCACTTTGACCAAGAGAGGATGGCTGGCAAGAGCAGGGGGACGAGCGGGGACCCGGCTGCCCCCACCTGCCCTGGACAGCGCCCTGCAAATGAGCTTCCAGGTCTCCAGAGTTCTGGGGCCTGATTCCTGGCCACGAGTGCCCCTCTTTTCCTTCCAGGGAATTGGACAGGACACTGGCCAAGGCCTCCTAGCCCTCCTTCAAGGCATAGGGCAGGGGTGACTTTGATGCGTTAGTCTGCTTGGAGGGCCCTGTGGCTGGTCTTTCCCACCGCACCCCGCTGAAAGGCCCCTATATACCTCTGGCTACAGAGATGGTGACAAGGACCCTTGGGTCTATCAGCAGAGGGGACATTAATTAAGACCAGTTGGAGGAGCGGCTAGGGAGGCTTTGGGAGCCCTGTCCTAGAATCCCGTAGGGTGGGTGAGGTGGAGGGCAGGGCCAGACTGTGGCAGCCAAGGGGGAGTTGGGAAGCCATGGGATGATGTCATGGCTCCACTGTCCCTCGGACCAGGAGATGCCTTGCCTTCCCTTTGCCTCACTCAGGGTGCTCGAGGGGCCATGACGGGAAAGTCGTTCCTCAATGGGTTCTGAGCAGGCTCATCTATCCCTGACTCTGGATGGCAGCAAGTGGAGGGGGAGTTGACTTCTGTGGGGCTCCTTGAGGCTGTGGGATCATGGAGTGCTAGTACCACCATCGACATCGGTGACCATTTCGTCCGACCCCTCTTATTCCTGATACGGAAATGGAAGTGCCAGATCAGAGAGCTCATGGGGGTGGGTGAGGGATGGAACCCCAGTATACCTGACTCCCAGACCCATGACACTTAGGGTCACAGGCCCTTTGACAGCATATCTTTGAGTCACATCCGCTGGAAAGGATGGGGGAGGCTGGGACAGGAACTCAAAAGCTGCCCTCGGGGGTCAGAAGAGACCAGGCCTCCTGGGAATCTGCCCAGAGGAGCTCAGGCACATCACTGTAGTCCCTGGGGCTCCCTGCATGTTTGACCCCCTGCCAAGAGGAAGGAGGAGGGAGAAGGAGTGAAGTCATTGCATGTGTGAGCTCCACCCCTCCCGAGAACGGATGTCCAGTCTGCGCCTCCGGAGAAACTCCTGCCACAGCTCGGTGACAGCCTAGGAAGGACGTGTCACTGCTTCACATGCGCAGCCCCCAAGTGCAGCACAGCCCAACGTCTCCAGCCCCACCTTGCCCCCTGGGTGAAGAGCTGGGCATTTGGGCCCCAAGCCCTTCTTTGGGTTCTTCCATGATTCTGTTAGACATTCTTGGAGCCCCAGCCCCGGAGGCCACTGCTGTCAGGGCTCCGAGCCTCTGAGGCCTGGGCAGCCTCCTCTTGATCCTTTGGCTCCATCCTCCCTCCTAGCAGGCCAGCCAGGGGACCCTGCCCACCCCCATGGACTCACCCTCAATGGGCCTCTCCAGTCTTGCCTGGTCCTCCCCACCCATCCCTCTGTCCCACTCCCCATTATTCCTGGGGCCCTCCTCTGTCTGCAAGTTTCCCAAAAACCAGCTTTCTGGAATCCAGCCACTTCTCTTGGGGCAGAAAGAGAAATGGCCAGCCTCTGGCTGTGGATTCTTGATGGGGTGTGGGACTGGGGAGAGGGCCGAGACAAACCCATCCCTGGGGGGCCAAAATCCCTCCCCATGCTTTTCCCTTTACCATCGGGCCAGAAATGACCCTGGACAAGTAGAGACTGAAGCCCAGAAGTAAGTGCAGCTGCCCCTCCCACTTATAATCTGCAAAGGCGTCTCGGCCATCTCCCGATCCTCAGAACAACTTTGTTGGGCTGGGATTATCGTCTGTATTTTACAGCTGGGGAAACCCAGAAGGCCATGATTATTTTCCCAAAGTACCAAGGGCAGGATCTTCAGTACCACTCTCCGATCTTCAGATTACCAATCCAGGGCAAGACATGACTCTGTCACCCTTCAACTACTATGGACCTGGGAGGGAGAGTGCTGGGTCCCTGGGGCCACCTGGCCTGCCCCTTTCCTCTCTCCACATCCCATTTCTATCTGCCACACCGCAGAGTGTGTGTAGTTTTGTGGTACACACACTCACAGGCTGCCTTCCCTCCTTCAGCCAGCCCTGAGCACCTACTGTGTGCCCTTCCCAAGTCCTCAGGACTGGCTGAAGAGAATGAGGTAGCCCGACAGGGCGTCCACACACTAGTCTATGAGCATATCTGTGCTTCCAGCTGGGGTGTACAAGTCTAGACTTCAGTGCCCAGGAGGCCCTGCCTTAGACCTCCAGGATTTCCCAAAGCCACAATTTGCTTAGAGGGAAGATAATTTTAAGGTTCATCCCCCTAAGACTATAACTGGCGAGTAGCATCCTCCCCTGGGAGGAATGGAAGGCGGTGAGCCCTTGCCCTGTGCTGACTCTGAGCTAAGCACCGTCCTACCCAACCCCCAAACAAATCCTCCCTCAACCCAATCTCCCACCTGCTACCAGTTCTTGTCAATATCTCCCCACTACTGAGTTCCAGTTTTCCTCAGCTGACCTGAAGCCGTGGCAAAGCCCCCTACAGGTGTCACAGTGAGCCCAGCCCTCTCCAAGCCACTCCCCACCCACAGCCACGGGAAGACTTTCAGACCCAAATCGCATCCTGTCACTCCTGCCAAGACCCCTGAAGCCCCCTTAGGCCTCAACAGGGCTGTGTGCTCTGACCCCACACCCAGCTCACCCCTCCCTCTCCACCCTGAGAGGCACCAGCATTCTCCCAGGCTCTCAGAGCGACCATCCTTGCTCTGGCCTCTGCAGGACACGTGTTCCCCCTCCCTTTGCCTTGCCAGCTGGGCCTCTTTCTCCAGCCATCGGGGCCAGACCCTTCCCTGTGCCTTTGCGTCCATCTGTCCCTTGCTTATACCCCTGCTGTCCTTCAGGGAAGGTTTCCTCAGCGCTATGAGCTCTGTGGAGACAGTGTGCCTCCTCCTGCCTCTCCCTGCTCCCTGGCTTTCTCGCCTCCATGTCCCCAACACCTGCATAGTGCCTGGTAGGGAGCTGATGCCAACCATTATGTGTTCGCAGGCTAGACGAATGAGCCAGCTCTGTGGGGTAAGTCCTGCTGCTGCGCCCACTGTGTGGACAAAGAAAAGGACACCTGAGAAGAGAAGGAGCCAGCGAAAGGTCGCACAGCTGGCTGATGCCACAGGCAGGGTCTGGAAGCCTGTGTTCTTAAACGTTTCCGGCCGCACACAGCGCACCCAGGTCTCAGCGTCTGTCTGTCTTGCTCACCCAGCAGGCTCTCTGAGGACGGATCCGCTGGTGCAGGCTCCCTTCCCCGGAGCTGGCCCAGAACCATGGAGAGTCTGAGCGAACTGCAGAATCCTCTGCTGCCTCAGAGCCCCGCCCCGCTCCATGGCCCCTACCCCTACCGCGAGGCTTCGCCCAACTGGTCATGCCAAGAGAAGCTTTACTCCTACCTCCTGGGTGCTGCTGGCTCCGCTCGCCCCCACCAGCTCCTCGACCCGGGGTCCCTGCAGCTGGCCGTGGAGGCCTGGTACAGGCCCAGCTGCCTCCTGGGGAGGGACAAGGTCAAGGAACCCAGGGCAAGCAGCTGTGAGACCAGCTTCACAGAGAACAGGGAGCTCCAGGCTGGGCCCACAGAGCGGTCCACAGAAGCGGACCAAGAGGAAGAGGATATCACCATCCAGACGGTGTCCTACGGGGTTCAGGAGGAGCTGCAGGGCCAGGAGAACGACCAGGAGGAGGAGGAGGTGAGTGCCTGTGTTCAAAATGCAGATCCCCTGGCCAAGCTCTAAGGGTTGAGATTCGGTGAACCTGGCTTGGGGCCCAAGAATCTGTATGTTACCAGAGAAAAAGTACTTTGGCACAGGTTTGAGAAACACACACTTGGGTTGGCGACTGAATTTTTTTAATAGCGTTTATTGATCTTGTTTGCTTAATTATATAAGTAATTTAAAAATACAGAAAACCCCTGGAAGAGAATATTAGTATTTGAGTAGATGATGTTCTAATCATTTTCCATTCAATGTCTTTCTCCCACCCTACTCTGTCCAAAAGATCTTGCTGTACACTGTTTTATCACCAGATTCTTCTCTCTAGATGACATATTTCAGTGTGGTTCCATGTCATTTAACATTTGTCTACAAGGCAATCTTTAAGGGTTCCATGGTGTCCCATTGTACGTTCTCCCATAACTCTTAACTTGATCTCCTGGTCATTGGGCACTGAGACTCTCCCCTTCTTTCACGATTACTATCCGATGATGCACGTGCTTATACGTACACACTTGCATTCTTTCTCTGTATGCTTGTGCCAATTCCTAAGAAGGGAATCAGTGGGTCACAGTTAAGGCTTCGGGTAGAAAGCACGGAGCCCGGTCACTCCCAGCCGCAGCAGACGACACTACCCGTGGCCCCACAGGCTTGCCATCCGTGATCCTGGCTATGGTCGCAAAAACCCACTTGTGTTTTGCAGAGTGATGTGACCTCGACGGACAGTGAAAGTGAAGACAACTTCGTGGCGCTGCCCCCCAGGGACCACCTGGGCCTTACTATCTTCTCCATGCTCTGCTGCTTCTGGCCCCTGGGCATTGCTGCCTTCTACTTCTCCCAGGGGGTAAGAGCAAGAGGGGCACAGGGCATCTGCTCCAGCCCCTTCCCTCCACTGGAGGGCTTGACCAAAGATGGGGGAGGATGGGGAGGCCTTTGTGCAGGAGGGGGTTGGAGCTCAGTGGGCTGGGGCTACGTTGCCTGAGGTGGGGACGCCCCTTTCACCAGCGCCTCTCTCTCCCTAGACCAGCAAGGCCATCTCCAAGGGAGACTTCCGCCTGGCCAGTACCACCTCCCGCAGGGCCCTCTTCCTGGCCACACTCTCCATCGCTGTGGGCGCCGGTCTCTATGTGGCCGTGGTGGTGGCGCTGGCGGCTTACATGTCCCAGAATGGCCATGGCTAGTGGCCAGGAGGGCCTGGCATCCTGACGCCCCGGCTCCGTCTGAAGAGACAATGGGACTTGGGGTCACAGACCTTCAGGAGCGCCAGGGCCCCTCAAGACAACCCGCTACCCCAGCTTGTGGGGGAGGCCTCCCAGGCTGCAACTTGCAGGGCTCCGCTGTCCCTTCTTGTCCCTGGCCCCCCGGCCCCAGAGCAAAGCCAAGGCCACCACCCACTAGCCCAGGCTATGTCAGGAAGCAGGAGAGAGTAGGGCTGCCCACCAAGCCATCCAGGCAGGACCTACGTCTGGCTTGAGGCTAGCCGGGAGCTCAGCCTCTTCTGCCCACCCAAGAGGGTCGCCTGTCCTGCCAGCAGCCCACTCCCCTGCTCGGCCAGCCTCTTCTGCAGAGAAAAACCTGGAGGTTACCGGAAGAGTAAAGGACACCTGGGGGCAGGGGATCTGACTCAGTTCTTTCCACTAATAGGCGTCTCCACTCTGGGGACAATCTGAGCTTCCCCAACTCCACTCTCTGGCCCCCTGAGGCCAACACCCCAGCCAACCAAGAAGGAAATATACAGACACACAGGGGCCCCCTAGCTCTTTCTGGCTCTCCCCTACGGGTTTATGAGACATCATAGATTGTAGATAGAGAAGCGCGCCAGCCATGTAAAGTGTAAGGAAGGCAGGTTCTCTGAACTTCCTTGCATAGAAGCAAAAGGCAGATGTGATGACAAAGTCCTGAAACACTGCCAGGCCACATGGGCCTCTCCACTCCAACCCTAGTCCCCACCCCCATCATCCTCTTCGGGGCTCCTCCTGGGTGGCCCTGAGCTAATGCCATCCCAGAGAGAGAGAGCCAAGCCACCAGCCAAGAAGCATAGGGTCCCGGATCCGGCCCTCTGAGAAAGCAATGAGGAGAGACCCTGGGACATAGTATAAGTGAGGGGAGGGATACAGGACTAACATGGCTGCTGAGCAGCCAGCAGTGCTCAGAAGGCTTCCTGGAAGAGCTGTCCCTTGAGCAAGGTCTAGAGGGATGAGGAAAATGTTCCCAGGGAATTCGTTTTCCCATAACCCTTGGTATTCATGAACAGGGACATGGCAGGAATCTTCCAAGCTGTTTGGATTTTGCCTTGAGCATCTGGGCTAGAGCCAAACTACAGCCATTTCTGAGGGCTCCACCCACTCAGAGAAAGAGGTTGGGCAGCATGTGTCTCAAAGACCAGTGATGTCTTCTCACTTCTGAATGCTGGGGGTCAGTGGTAGCCCCTGGCCAGCTTTCTTTTTTTTTTTTTTTTTAAAGATTTTATTTACTTATTTGACAGAGAGAGATCACAAGCAGGCAGAGAGGCAGGCAGAGAGAGAGGAAGGGAAGCAGGCTTCCTGCTGAGCAGAGAGCCCGATGCGGGGTTCGATCCCAGGACCCTGAGATCATGACCTGAGCCGAAGGCAGCGGCCTAAGCCACTGAGCCACCCAGGCGCCCCCCTGGCCAGCTTTCTTCACCGACATCCCTACCCAGAGCTACTCTCAACGTCCCCAGCCAATAGGGAACATCCAGAATTTTAGAAGCATCCAGGCAGCCAGGAGGGCAGGACTGTGTAGGCTCAAGCAAAAGACCCAACTGTGCGGGATCTGGGGACCCAGTCGTTCCCAGGCTGCATCCAGAGCCCAGACCTGTGAATCCACCACTGACCCACCTGGTCCCATCACCCTCCCCTCCCACTCCCTGCATCCCCTGAAGTCCCACAGGCCCAGGATCAGCAGTTTTAATATCCCATTGTTGTATATATTTATCCTTGTAATAAACATTTCTGTAACACCGGGTGCCCGCTGGGCCTCTTAGTGTCCCCGCCTGCCTCCACCTTTACCCACAGCCCACTGACCTCCAAGACTGACCTCCAACCCTATCATGGCTGCTCTGGGCCCTGGCAGTCTTCTCCAGAAGGCCATAGCAGGAGGGGTGGTCAGGGTACCCCTTCAGTCCCCTGTCCCAGGACCTCTCTGCTCAGAGTAGCCCAGATGCAGAGTGGTAGTCAGCACCAGATTCCATTCGAGACAAGACAACATCCATGCCTAAGCAAAAATCCCTTCTAGGCTAGAGAGGTCGGGGGAGGGGTGAGTGAGGCTTCACTGAGCTGCCTGCAGCTATCAGGAGGGGATGCAGGGCCCAGGGGGGGCCCAAGGAGCCCCAATCCCCTGGTGCCCATTCTTAAGTCCCATCATGTACCCCCTGTACCCCTCTCCACATACCTGCATGAACTCCCCCTCCTGAGCACTGCTCTGGGACAGTGCGGGGAGGAAGCCACCTCCACCTTGGGCCCCAGGCTCCACACCAGATCTCCAGCACCCTCTCAATTCCAGGCCCCCAGGAGCCTGCCTGGACCGGCAGAGGGACCAGCTCTAGATGGTTCCTAAATGACTGTGCACGGAGGGTCCTGGGGGAGGTAGGAGAGGCTCACCCCGCAGCTGCACGTGCCTGCTGGCGAGACGCGGCTTTGCTTGCTTACACACACGTGTGCTGTGCGGGCTGGAGGCCCCTGAGATTGGTGCCAGTCATGTATGACGGATTGCCCTTGGGAGATCGTCTGGGGAAGGGAGAAGGAGGCAGATCTGGGCAAGCGGAGATCAGGCTGCAAGGCAGCCCCAAATGCAGTGGGGTCTGGAGCCAGGATACCCTTCAGGGTTGACCCAAGTTGGGACAAAGGGCCAGGCCTTTATACCCTCTCAGCAAATGGTCATTGGATGTGGGCCACCCAGAAAAAGAATGACCTGAGCGAAGATGCTTTTCTTCAGCTGGGGCAGCCTCCCGCGGGGGGCTTGCCCTGAGGCTGTTTGCCAGGCACCTGTAGCAGCTAGAGGACCAAGCCCATCATTGCTGTAGGGGCCCTGAAGGGGGGCCCATCACTGCACCTGCCACACCCACCACAGAGCTGCGGACCCGGTGGTGTTACAGAGATCCCCTCAGCACTTAGCTCCACACACGGGAGGCTGCTTCCGGGGAACTCTGTGACACTAGGCCAAAGACAAGCCAAAGTGCCAGAGAGCCAACAGCCAAGTCAAGAGACGTCAACCGGTGACAGATGGGAGTTGGTGGGCTTTCTGCCCTCTGGAAGGGAGCCCTCTGGCTCCCGTGTCTCCCCCGCGGGTTGACTGGCAGATGCCCATGGCAGTGGTTTGCTGGAGACCATGGCCCTCCCTGGCTGCCTTCCTCCCTGGACCTTCTTCCTCACTCCCCTTACCATGCTATCAGGGGTTCTCTACCTGCAATTGAATCCTTGTCTCTGTGTGGGCTTCTGGGGGCACCCGAACCCAGGCACATGCATCCCACGTATGGGGGTACATATATGTAGCCACATGTGCACACCCATGTACCCACACGCATGCACATACATCCCTGCAGGCCCAGGCAGGCAGCCCCGCACACACACACCGGTACAGCCCACAGGCACACAAATACTGCAGACCCACACTCACAGACGTGCCCACACACGCAGCACACACGCGTGCAAGGGGTGAAGGAGACCCAGTGGCTGAGCACACACGCAGCACACACGCGTGCAAGGGGTGAAGGAGACCCAGTGGCTGAGGCGTGTCCCCTGGCCCTGCCCGCCGTGCGGTCTCACCCCATGGCCAGTCTGGCTGGGCCCCAGAACGGGCAGTGTGCGGCACACACAGCAGTCCAGGCCCTGCCTCGTGGCCCGCGTGATACCTGCCTCCTTCCCCGCCCTCCAGAATGGTTCGAAGAAACCAGATGATTTCCTGTGTTCACCTCCGTCCTGCTCCCCCGCCTTTGTACCCCCTCCTTTACCCCAGGAGCAAATACAGGCTCTGCAGGAGAAAATGAAATCAGAAACAGAGCCCCCAGGGGCTTCCCTCCCACACAGCCCCCTAGGAAGGGCGCATCCCGTGGAGCCTGGGGTCCGGGATCAGTCCCGGCAGCAGGGGCAGGGCCCCCTCCCCGTCCTGCTGAGGCCTGCCTCTGGGCGCGCCTAGGGCACGGTTGGCCTCCCGCTTCCCAGTTCTGCCTGAGGCTCCCGGGAAGAGGGGGAGCTTGCTGTCACCACCGCCCCCCCCAGACTGACTTCTCAGGCTGGCAGGGGTGGGGGGGGGCAGGGAGGGTCCCCTGGGTAAAGGTGCCCGTGACGAGCCGCAGCGCCAGCACATCTGTGCAAATATTACCAATTATTTTCCTCACTATAAACACCCAGCAGGAAGGCAGGGAGGCAACCAACCCAAACTGTTTAAAATAGAAAGTGAAATTGCTGCACAGGGAAGTCGGGGCAGCAAGCGGAGAAGGAGCCCCGCACGAAGAATCCGGGGTCTCCCCCGCAGCCCCTGCCCGCTGCCCCTTCAACTGCACCTGCTCCCGGCTGCACCGCCCTCCCCCCATCGCCCTGCAACTCCACCCCAGCTTTCTCCTCCGCTAGGCAGGAAGAGCATAGGGGAAAGTCCTCATCTGCGGCCTGGGGGCCAGGAGGGAGTGGGGTGCCAAGCAGGCCCCCATGGGGGAGGGAAGATGGCTGAGGGAGGCTGCCACAGCAGACCCAGCGCCAGGCTGCCCGGCCCGTGTTGCGGGCCGCTGCTGGGCAAGTTCGTGCAGTGGCCAGGCCACGGAGCACGGTGCTGTGTGTGTGGACCGGGGTTGCGGGGGGAAGCCTCCCTTGTGGCCACAGGCCTTGGGAGGCTGGGCCAAGTGGAAACAGTGACCTGCCACCAGTTCCGAGGGAAAGGAATTTTTCTGATGGTGGAAACGGCAAGAAAGTTGCCAGTGGGGCCCGGGCAGCCTTTCCTGTCAGTCAGTCCGTCCACACCACAGGGCCGGCAGTCCACAGGTCTCCCATACGCTCCCATGGCTTGTCAAAACGTTGAAACATTTCCGAACTAGTCAATAAATAGGCCCTGCCCCCAAGCCCTCCAGATGTTTCCCTTTCCTGACCCCTGAGCCCTTCCAACAGTACTCCCCAGCTGGCTCCCCAGGAATAAAGGGTTAGCAGCCCCCTCTACCCCAAATGCCCTGGTC